ATGTGACATTATGACTTTATTCTCATACAACTTCATTCTCGTACAATTTAGTCTTGTAATATTACGACTTTAATGTGACATTATGACTTTATTCTCATACAACTTCATTCTCGTACAATTTAGTCTTGTAATATTACGACTTTAATGTGACATTATGACTTTATTCTCATACAACTTCATTCTCGTACAATTTAGTCTTGTAATATTACGACTTTAATGTGACATTATGACTTTATTCTCATACAACTTCATTCTCGTACAATTTAGTCTTGTAATATTACGACTTTAATGTGACATTATGACTTTATTCTCATACAACTTCATTCTCGTACAATTTAGTCTTGTAATATTACGACTTTAATATTGTAATTTAAAAAAATCTTTTTGTGTGGCCTTATCATAATAACCTAACCATACCATCATATCATTCTTTGCACTCGGAGATTTCTCCAAATTCTTGAAATCTTCTGATATTATAAACAGAAGAAGATGATTTGGTGTTTCCAATTCTTCAAGGACATTTTTTTCTGAAATTATTCCAGGGTTTATAGATGCTGACTCTCTGCCCATTTTTACTTTTGAGATTTAACCTCTAAAAAAGTTTTTTTTAATCTTTGATTTATTGATATTTAACATAATTAGTTGCAAAACATTCCTCCACCAATGTCTTATTAAAACATCTTAGTTTTAATTTGTTGCTGCCATCAAATTTAAAACGACCTAACTGTGTATAAAATTATACATTTTCAAATCTGAGTTTGCAAAACTTCCAAAGAATTGTAAGCAGGCAGTTTTTTATTTACATTTTTAACAAATCGGGGCTCTAAATTGCTTAATCTGTTATTTTTAATTACTAATATGCTGCATTATAATTTCTGTTCGGATCAAACAATTTTTATAGACATGCTGAGTATTTGTGTTGGTAAAACCAGTGGTGACAGACCTCCTCCAGCTGAGGWCTCAGTGACATAACTCCAGCTGATGCCGTCCCAAACATCATCCCTGAAAGGCCTGAAGGTGGAAAAAATGACAGTGAATAAATGTAATACCCGAGCCATGACATCACTCCCTCTGATGAGGAGGCTGCGCCTGGATTGGAYGGTGCCACCGACCAATCAGAGCGCACACATGGGAAGAGTTTAAAAAGATTCAGGAAGGTGTCTGAGTTGTCCGAAATCCTCACCAGCTGCCCCTGAGCTAGACTGTTCATATTAAAAAAAAGGGAAAAAAAACCTCATTATATTTAAGGAAAAATCTACTACACTGGACTATCTGGGGACTTTTCTTCTTCCTGCCTCGGACAGAGAGCTGCTACCTATTTTYTCCCTCTTTAAAGCCCCCCTCTTCTTCCTCCTCCTCCTCCTCCTCAGCTCTGTCTGTAAACAGAGAAAAAATGACAACACATTTCAGGAGCGGACCAGCCTTTGGACTTTCTGCTGAGGTTAAGAGTAAGGTAGGACCATTCTGTCTGTGGATGTTAACAAATATGCAGACTCAGAGCTCTGATACCCTCAGSTGGGGGTCTAGTGCCCCTCCATCTCCCCTCTATGTCAACACCAGGTAGCAGCAGCTCAGGTGATTCACTCCTGTCCGTCACTAACTCAACAGGATTTAGGAGCTGCAAGTTGGACAAATGTATGGTGTGGGCAGCCTGTTCTGCTGCTGCTTTGTTTGTGGGATAAACCCAAACATGGTGGAAGGAGACCAGTCTGCAGTTTAAAGGGATAGTYCACCGATTTCTTTTGAAGTGTGCCTCAGTGGAAAAGTTCTGAACAATTATTATCTTACCTGTTTTAGATATCACTTTGAAACTTCACAGCAGTCCATGCAAACACTATTTTTATGGATAAACCTATACGTTTATGTCACTTTCATGTTGTGAGGTTGTTTAGAGTGATTTCTGGTTTCTTTGGTTTGCTGTGAACTCAAATAAGGACAGCAACAGTTAGTTGTAGCACATCCTGTTTAGTTTGGAGCTATGATTTAATTCTCTAAAATCAGCGAAACCTCTGAAACAAGTCAAAACATGACATTTTTCCGCATCTAATTTATGCATTTTAAATTCCAAGCAGTAGAAGGGTCAGCTTCCTCGCTGTCGTTGCCCCTCTCTGCCGTGCCGCCCAGCAGTCTACCTCCCTCATGTGTTGCTGTTGCACATCGCATACAGGTGGAAGTCAGAAACTGGATTCATTGCCTTTGTTTTTTAATGTTTCGTGAATTGGAGCTGGGCGATCAAACAATAACGATATATATCATAATAGAAACATGATCAATATCAATAGAAAAAAATGTCTGATAGAATGTAGAGACTGCACGGCATTCTGGGAGATGTAGGCAGAGGAAAGGCTTTAGCTGACCTCACACGGTCCAGCTAAGCTCTAGATGAAATTGTGGACAAAAGAGGGAAGGTCACGTCACCACTTTGGCAGTATAATTCAGCCTTTTTTCTCCTGGTCCTTATCTCAAAAAGGTAAAACAAAAAAATGAATCAATCTTTTTTGTTATAACTTAGTAATACAAAGTTGATAGTARTGTAAAAGGTTGAATAATATAGTGATTATATAAACTCCTGCTTTAGAAATGGGTTGACTCAGCCTATATAAAMAAGTTAATAATCTAATTCTAGTTGACCCATTTCAAAGCATCAGTAATTTCACAWGCAAAGTCTGTTATTTAAATATTTACAACCACTGTCTATTTCATATTACATATTTGGTCAGAAATACTGTAAAATCTCTGTTGGAATTTYCTCAGGTTGCACCACAYGTGCTACAGCTAGCTGCTGCTGCTGTTTGCGCTAACAAATACTCATTGAAATCTAATGTGAAAATGATACTGTTAAGATCAWTACAAAAAGAAAATGTTTAAATGGAACCATTTTAGTGTGCCAGAGTTCCACTTGGTCTTTCCTCCTTTTGGACTAGCCACTAACTCGTCAGTCCTATCATAAACAAATTTTACTTCAACAATAAAAGAGCAACATACAGAARTATTTGTTTTCCCCAGAAACCCGCCCCCCTCTCAAAATAAATAGCTTGAACATTCTTGTTATACATAAAATGCACCAGATTGTGTGGACATTCAGTGTGTCTCAGATTAAATAGTGTAGTTACTAACAGGAACTGGTATAAATATACAGTAAACCTGTGTCAGACATCAAGCTCTTCCTGTTGTCAGGCAGCTGTGTGTGTGTTTGCTGTCTCTGTTACTTCGAGTCAGAGCTGCTGACAATTTAGAATTCACAATTTATTTAAAAAAAAACTTAACTTGTGACTGTTCAAACACACAAACCATCATCAGGTCCATAATCATTGTCATTATTGTCCAGGAACGATGTGACCYGTCCTCTATCAGCACCATTAATTTCCCTCTCTGTGATGCTCTCAGTCCTTTCATTAGTCTGCTCACAACACAGTCCGGGTGTTAGTTTACTGCTATTTAAGCTCATCAAATATACAGAAAGTAAAAGCTAAGCATTTAAATAGAGAAAAAAATAGTTTGATTTTTTTTGAGTGGCGTCAGGGAGAAGCTGAAGTGACAACCACAGAATCATCATCATCATCATCATCATCATCATCTGATGACCTTTTAAGGAGTGGCCGAGCTCGGGTCTGGAAGTTGAGAACGTGTGTCTGCTCTAAACAGTTTACATCAGAGTCAAGGATGATAAAAAACATTATCTTGACAGAAGGCAGGAGGATGAGGAGGAGAGGCAACTAAAAATCCAAGCCCGCAGTAAATTTATTTAACAATGCTGGACAAGACATGGAGAAAACAAGATTATATCAGTGGAAATTTTTCTTTTTATTTGCAAAGATTTCCACGTATCTGATAAAAACAGCTAGAGATAATTACATAAACATTTCTAGAAAGATTCAGTCACTTGCCTTGCCTTACATGGTGTGGTATGGCAGACCAAGGTATATATTATTGTGGTTGTTATCACGCTGTCACAGGATGTTTTACCGCAGGCTGTCATCTTATAAACAGTCACTTGTTTCCACAACATTCATAAAAGATTTCCTTTATCAACGTCCCTGCTGGTGTCTTGTCAAACTTAAGAGACTTTGTCTGGTACAAAGAGTTTGGCTCTTAAAATAGTTTCATTTTATTCATCCCCTAAAGATCCGACATGTTAAATATTCCCTAAAAACAAGTAGCCTAAAAAGAATTGATAACTTTTGTTTAAATAACTTCTTTTTGCTGTTGTTAATGTGGACATTCACGCCATCTAGTGGCATGGCATGGATATTACAGCATTTTTGTTAGAATTGTATTCAATTTAAAATATTTTGTGTAGTGTGGATGGCAGTGGCGGATCCAGGATTATACGAAAAAGGGGCCATCAAGGGGCCACAATATTCATAGAGGGGCCAAAAGTATTTGTTTAGCATACTTGCATTTAAATCCCTGGTTTTGGTAAGGTGTTTAAATTTTACCAGTCATATGTTCAAACACTTGTAATGTAATGTCTTTAAAAAAAAAAAGCTTGAACAGTAAATTATCCTTAGCAATTTTACATGTATTTTTACTGTAGATAGATAAAATGCTCTCAAATGCATGGTATTTGAGAAAATTCAGCCATCATTTGTCAGCTGAATAACTTTTTCTGCAAGATTGTTCAGATTTTCTTAAGAAGAGAAGAATTTTRTAAGATTGATTCACGCTGGACTTTCCTATTTGACTCATTAGTGTTTGAACATGGAACTGCACACACCATCACCAATCTCAGGCAAAGGACAGATGAGTGACAGGACAGGGGCACTTCAGGGGGCCAATCAGATTTCAGCTGGGGCCAATGCCCCTGTGGCCCCGCCCCTGGTAGATGGGGTCAGAGATGAAATGTTTTTAAAAGTTAACTTTACAATTATGATTGAAGAGTGTCAACGGTATTAGGGCCACTCAAGATTTTTTTTTATTCCGAGGATAAAGTCATAATATTACGGCATTTRTCTTGTAATATTATGAGAAAAAAGTGGTGATCTTATGTGACATGTCCATTTTCAGTTTTTGATTTTTTTTCCCCTCATATCCTCATCATTTTCCTCGCACCTGCTGTGGACAGCCATGCATGTCACTGTGTTTATSATCCTCGTGTAATATGATATGTTTCCATCCAAATTATATGATTAAATTTGTCAATGCAACCATTAATTGCAAAATGTCTTCAGTCAGTGTGCTAAAAGATTAAGAATTTCTTTAAACCAATACAACTTAACAAGATGCTCAACTTTCTTAATTTTAATGCAGTAGTAAGAAAGTGGTAGCTTCACATAATATGACTTCATTCTCGTAATATCATTATGTTAATCTTGTAAAATTGTGACTTTATTCTCATAAGATTACGACTTGATTCTTGTAATATTACATCTTTATTCTCATACATCTTTTTTATCGTAATGTTACGACTTTTATGTTGTAATATTATAATTTTTTTTCTCGTAATGGAAAAAAAATCTTGTTGTGTGGACCTAATACTTTGTGGTATCTGTCAGCTTGCAATATAATCTTAAAAAAGTGACAAAATTATGGAAGCTGAGAATAACATTCTCATCTATTACTATTTTAATGTGATTTCTTATTAAAGAATACAACTCAATTTTGATTTTCTGATTTGATTTAATAAGTAATAATATTGCATGTATATGAACACAGAGTACATGCATTATTAACACAAGAAAGTTAGAACACTTGTATCCATTGTGGTTTAAAACAGGGTACTGAAGAAAAACCCCAGGATAAAAACTGAGCAAAAACAAACCAAAGATCAAATGATGTTTGGTGTGATCAGTGATACAATGGGAAATAAATAAGGGACTGTAAATAAAAAAGTAATAAAGGAAAAATTGGAGTCATGTAGTTTAGAACAGGGCTATTCAATTGGCAGCTCACAGGCCGCTCACAATTTTTAATGTAATATGAAAGATTTTAAATCAAATGTAAGTTTAAATTTTATGATTCAATGCAACAAAGTGAGGTCTTTTTCATGAAGACCGCTGAGTGAAAAGGTTTTAACCTTGGATTTAAAAGTGGTTTAACAATCAGTCAACTATATGCCTCTGGAGATCCTTCCATGCTCCAGTGTAAGCTAAAGATGACTGTCCAAAAGATTTTACAAAAAGAAAAACTAAATACAACTCCATATTGTGAGGGATCTGCYGGGCGTTTAGGAAAGCTGTTTCTCCTAAGTGTGGTGTGATGGACCGGGTAAGTTTATTTACTCCAACAGAAGCAGTTAGATAAGAGGTGGCTTGGCTTAACAGTATATTGTGTGTGTGTGTGTGTGTGTGTGTGTGTGTGTGTGTGTGTGTGTGTGTGTGTG